TGTGTGTATCTGTAAGTAGCATTAGTTCTGAAAAACATGCAGAATTCTCAGATCCATGCACAGGTTCACAAACTGATAAAGGCTCCTTTTGTGCCAGTTCTGTCAGCATCCTCCTGACCAACTCTGCACATTATGTACGTGTACATTAAAAATGCACAGTATAGAGTATGGAAATAAAAATATTTATTCATGGACGTTAAGTAGCTTTTGCTGGGGAGTCTCTCTTTAAAACCTTTTGCATGCGAAGGAGCTGAATGCATGTATCAGGACAGGAAGCTGATGCAGGAAGCATCATGATGGTGTAAGGTCAAGGTGGCAACCCATCAACCGCTGCTGCTGTTGTTTTAGAGAGAGGCCGGAAATCCCACAACCCCCTCTTATGTCACTGATGAAGAGATAGTCAGTATTGTTTCACAGTATTTTACAGTGAAATGGAGAGATATGAGTCAAGGAGTTGCAAGGTGTTTGTGAACACTGATAGGCAGGAAGTCCGACGTTAGGTGGGAATCTATGTGAATTATAAGGTTTGACAATGTCATTACAATTGTCCCGATTCTCAAAAATTGTGATCTGTAGTGAGAATAGGGAGCGGGTGGAAGAGGGCCTGGAGAGGTGTAGTAGAAGAACAATGAAAGTCAGTAGAGCAGTAGAGAGATTGAGCATTTTGGAGACAAAGTCAGAGAAAAGCTGAGATGGTTTGGACATGTGCAGAGGAGGGATACAGGATATTCTGGAGAAAGGATGCCGAATATGGAGCTAACAGGATGAAGGAAAAAAGATGAGTCTCGGAGGAGGTTCATGAATGTAATGAAGGAAGCCATGCAGAGGTTTGGTGTGACAGAAGAGGGTGCTAGAGATACAGATGAGCTGCTGTGTTGACCCCCAAAGAGAGCAGCTGAAAGAAGAATGCTTGTTTACAGTGAAATCTCACTGTGCTTCAAGATGATATCTGGGTGGCGCTGTTTTACAAATAATTAACATGTAATCATGTTCTCTTTAATCAAGGTAAGATAAACATGATTACATCAAATCTTATGCAACAGAATTTGCATTAGATGCAATTTATATACTGTAGATGTAAAGCTTTACTACTGATCAGTCTATTCCCATCTGTGCTATAACAATACCATTTAATTTCTGTAGGTCAATTCCAGGATAATGCTGGACATATATGGCAAAGAAGGTTAACTTTACATTTTGTGAACTTGGGGGTTCCTTCGTTTGCTGCTTCAAGGCAACAATGTGCTACAC